CTGCAGAAGCCACAACTGCATTTGAAAGACTCAAAAATACCATGGTTAAGGCCCCAGTTCTGGTTTTACCTGACTTCTCCAAGCCCTTTACAGTGGAAGTTGATGCCAGTGGTTTAGGTATTGGAGCCATTCTCATACAAGATCACCACCCAATGGCCTATTTGAGCCAAGCTCTCAACCCTAAAGATCAAGGCCTGTCCACCTATGAGAAGGAATTACTGGCCTTACTTCTAGTAGTAGACAAGTGGAGACACTACTTACAGCAGAACTTCTTCACAGTCAAGACTGATCATTTCAGTCTCAAGTTCCTAAAAGACCAGAGGATCTCTACCATGTTGCAGCACAAAGGGTTAACTAAGCTACTTGGGCTAAACTTTGACATTCAATATATGAAGGGGAGTAAGAATTCAGCTGCTGATGCCTTGTCCAGGAAAGTCTCAGGACACTGTAATGCTATCACCAGCATTAAACCAACTTGGGATCAGGAGGTATTAGAAAGCTATCAAGGAGATGATGAAGTGAATCAGCTTATTTCTGACCTTACACAAAATCCCCGTGGGAGTTGATAAGTGAGGATTTTGACTACTTATTGGCTTTGTTTTAGTCTGAACGTATTGATTTATGTTCCCGAAACTAATAAAATTGTGCAAATTGCAGGAATGTTGGAAGTTTGGTCTCCCGTGATAAAATTCAACTCAAAAAGGAGTGTTCCAAATCACAAGGCAATAAAGGGCGCAGAAGCAAAGAAGTGTGGTCCGCAGAAGGAATTCTGGGCTCCAGAAGAAAGTGCGGACCGCAGAATTCCATCTGCGGCCGCAAACCAAGCGAAAGAACCCAACAAGATTTTGAGCAATGTGCATACCGCACATGAATTGTGCGACCGCAAAACAGGGTCTACACTGACAAATGATTCCAAGTTCAGAGAGTGTGCAAAAGACCAAAGTCCTCAAGCCTTGCTGAAGTGCGGACCGCACAAGAATTGTGCGGCTGCAGAAATCAATTCGCGGCCGCAATCCAGAAATTTGCGGCTGCAGAACCCAACCTCCTGCCACTAAAGAAATCTGCGGACCGCACATGGAATTGTGCAGCAGCAAAACCTCCCGAGGGGCATTTTTGTCAGCGAATTTTGGCCCACTATAAATAGACGAGTTTCACAATTTTAGGTCAAGTTTTCGAAGTTTGTGCTGCTGTAGCTGTTACATTTTTTCATTTTAGGAAGTTTGTGACTATTTTAGTGTTTAAATATTATATTTTCATTTCAATCTTTGATTATGAGTTTAATTTGCTTCTCTTCTTTATTTTTTTTCAATTTCCACTATAAGTAGCTAGACTTTTACTAGGGTTGTGATCCAACCTTAGTGTGTAAACCTTACGGGTACTTAATTTAATGTTTGTTTATGACTGGGTGTTGATTATTTAGCTTAGTTTATGGTTCAATTTTAGAATTAATGGTTGCAAACATTGATTCATCTCTTTTTGACTTAGTCTCTAATTGAGAAAGAGGGACCTAGTCTAGGATAACTTGGCTAACAAGGAATTGGGTTAATTGAGAGTTTGATTAGCCTAATTAAAGGGTTCAAACTAGAGATAGTAAGAACCCAACTTGAGCTCATATCAACTATTTTGTTTGATATCCATTTGGACTTGAGAAAGTCAAATTGGGCAAAATCACTCTTTGGCCGAGAGGTATTGAGTGGGTAATGTAGAGTTAAGAGCTATAATACACCCCAATCAACAAAACAAGTATTACCATCTTTACCCCATTAGGCGAACACCTAGGTTATGAGCACATCCCTAGACTTTTTAACTATTTGGAAAAACACCAAAAATAATCGTTCATTTCTTGTTTCTTTTTCTTAGCTTGCAATTGTTAGAGTAATAGTAGAAGTAGAAATCAAAACTTTTTGTGAAAGTGCAAATTTACTTAATCCATTCGCTTTCTTCAAGTGTATACTCCTAACACCCCTTATAACTTCATGTGGATTCGATCCCAACTTAGAGTTGGGTTAATTATATTGCATACAACTATATCATATATCGAGGTGTGTTGTGGACGTCATCAGGAGTGCAACCAATCAGTTGGTAAATGGACCGTTGAGGCATAAGGGTAAGCTACGGATAGGAAGCAAAGGTAACATGAGACAGCAACTAATCAAGGCAATGCATTCATCAGCCTTAGGTGGACAGTCTGGAGTACTAGCAACCTATAAAAGGTTGAGGTCCTTATTCTATTGGCCATCTATGCAGACAGATATCCAAAGAGTGGTACAAGAATGTGATACCTGCCAAAGAAACAAGATTGAGAACATAGCACCTCCAGGATTGTTACAACCCCTGCTAGTTCCAGATCACCTTTGGAAACATATCTCTATGGATTTTATTGAAGGTCTTCCAAAATTAGAAGGCAAGGACATTATTATGGTGGTGATTGACAGGTTCAGCAACTATGTACACTTCATTCCACTCCTTCACCCATTCAATGCAGCCAGGTTGCTAAGGTCTTCCTAGATCAAGTGTATAAGTTACATGGTCTTCCCTAAAGCATAGTGTCTGACAGAGACAAAGTGTTCGCAAGCATCTTTTGGAGAGAAATTTTCAAATTGTTGAAGACTGATTTACACATGAACTCAGTTTATCACCCTCAAACAAATGGTCAATCAGAAAGGCTAAACAGATGTCTTGAAACATATCTCAGGTGCATGACAAGTCACAAACCAAAAGCATGGAACTAGTGGCTCTCCTTAGCTGAGTTTTGGTACAATACATCTTACCACTCTGCCCTGCAAATGACCCCATTTCAAGTTGTCTATGGTTATGAGCCTCCATAGTTGGCATTTGAATTGATAGCTCAAAGTAAAGTTGACTCTGTAGATCAATGGCTAAACGAGAGGCAAGTGATGACTAAAGTGTTACAGGAAAGTCTTAGAAGGGCTCAAAACAGGATGAAGCAGCAATCAAATAAACATAGAACTGACAGAGAATTTTCAATTGGAGATTGGGTTTATCGTACCCTTATAGGTAGTCTTCTGTGGCAATCTGGAAAAGTCTTAAACTCTCATCTAAGTTTTATGGTCCATATCAGGTGATCAAGAAGATTGGCAATGCTGCTTATGAGTTAAAGCTCCCTCCCACGGCAAAAATACATCCAGTTTTTTATGTTTCCAAGCTCAAAAAGAAAATTGGCACTAATATAGTTGCCTTTGTTGATCCTCCTACATGTACTCCTGATGGTGTTCCGATGACTGATCTAGTTACAGTTTTAGGAAGAAGAATGATCAAGAGAGGTAACCAAGTAGTGGCACAAGTTTTGATCCAATGGTCCAACTTGCTTCCTGAAGAGTCCACTTGGAATGATTTTAGATTCATCAAATCTCAGCTTCCACATTTTAAACCTTGAGGACAAGGTTCTATAAAAGGAGGGTTTTTTCACAAGAATGGAGTAGTAGTTATGTTAGTCGATAATAGTTTATCTTTCTAGTCCTATAGTTTTCTTAGTAACAAATTAGTCCAATGTAATTTAAATTCCAATCTTTTTAGCTCTTAAGTTTGTTAGAGCAGAGGTGATGTCATAGTCTGCCAATTGTCACTTTCCCGGATCCCTAGGTAACAGAATTGGCAGAGTCTAGTCATTATATATATATATTCCGTTGTATTGCAATGATTGGCATGAATGAGAATCTATCTTATTTCCCCTCTAAATTCCTCTCTTCTTCTGTCCTTCTCTCCTTCTTCCTCCCGTTACTTCCTCTTCCCTTGTGAGCTAAGGTTGTGAGTGTTACAAACTTCTTTTACAGTTGGTCCATCTTGCACGATCTGAAACACCAATTGAGTATAGCTTTTTGGTTATTTTTGATTTCAAAGAGAATCTTTTCTGATAGTTAAGAATGATATGTCAGAGTTTCAAGTGGATATAAATTTAATCTTCTTGAAGTGGACTTAAGGGAAAAAGAATAAAGAGATTGACTTAAATTTAGGTTTTGCTCCTTCTGTTAAAATTTAATGATCAAAGGCAACCTCTTGCTAGCAATCATGATCCTCCTTCGGCGAAGCCGTCACACCTAAAAACTCAGACAAAGCACGTACATTCAAAAGGAGCTATTTTGGTGAAGAAGAAGGTTGTATTTTGGAGAGAAATCCAAGGAAGGAAGATGGGTAGAAAAGTTCGTGTTTTTGTGGTGGTGCGGTGCGTATTTCGTTGGGGTTGAAGGGCAAAGTAGAGTTGTAGTTGTGTGGTTGTATAGTTATGGCTGTTCAGGTATTTATTATGGTGGTGAGTAGGACGTGAAAGAGTACTGTAGCAGAAGGGAAGCATAATAAAAGAGGGGTTCAGCAGAGAGTTTTACTTTTACTGTTAGTTTTAGGACCAAAATTATACACTTTTTGTATAGATTAAGGACCTTTTACATTAGGTGTTATATATCAGGGACCAAATGGATCCAAAGCACATACATTAGGGACCGTTTTGATCATTTCCTTTCGAAAATTACGTTTATCCTTTTCTCTTTTAACAGAATTAATGGTTCTCTAGTTATCCATGAAAACAATGGCCTTCTAGTTGTGTATTTGTTCGTTTATTGCTTTAAACTTTAGCATTTATCTTCAAGATAACGGTTCCATGAAAAGAATGGCCTTCTAGTTGTGTATTTGTTCGTTTATTGCTTTAAACTTAGCATTTATCTTCAAGATAACGGTTCCATGAAAACAATAGCCTTCTAGTTGTGTATTTGTTCGTTTATTGCTTTAAACTTAGCATTTATCTTCAAGATAACGGTTTAACTTGATAAGGTAAGGGGTGAATATTTCCAAGAAACACGGGACTGCTTTGTATTACACTATTACTCTAAGCTTTGGTTCAATTAGGATCAGTTTAGTTTGGTAATTTCTAGAACAAAAATACAACATAATAATACCGCAATATCAGTTTTTCTCCAGAGCACTTATTAAAACAAATTCATTTCAATAAACAAAAGGGTAGTCTCATAAGTAAATTGCTCGAATCATAGATGGAAAATTCTGTTTTCTGATAAATTATTTTATGACCAACTTAGAGCTAGCCGATAAAAATTGAAAATTACTGAAAGATAAATTACAAAAATTTTGCTTCTTCGAAGTTACAACTCATTGGTTCATGAACTAGTAGGTAATTAGCTGTGTACAAACTACAAAGCAGACTTTCTACATCGCTGACAATTACTTTTGCTCATAACTTAGTAACACTAGATTTTTTCCAAGAAATCAAGCAGAAGCTTTCCAGAAATCTGTTCGAAACACAAACTCACATTCTACAAGTGGCCCAGTCTGGCACTGAAAGTTGAACCAGAAGCAGCCTTTCCTTTATCTGGAAATTGGCCTGTGGAACATTCAATTTGGATATATTGATTCTTGAGAGTTTGGACTTTGAGATTCCCTACCGGTATCTAAATTCTGCAGTTATATGTCGAACTCTCAGAGACAAAACCTCGCCATTCTGATGAGACCCAAACAAGCAACATGTGAAAAGAAAGCTCATCTCATGCATGGCCAGCACCTTCAATCGGCATAGAAAATTATCAGCCTCTAATTCAAAGAGAGTTTCAGCATAATATATGGGTCCATTACTGAACAACAAACTCACATCAACAAACAGTAAATCCAAGAATCACATTCCTTATCCAGTGTTGTAAAAATGTGAGAGCGCGATGGGTCATAAGCCCGTGAATTTTGTAAAATAGTTTATAAATTAATAAATTGAGCAGAAACTACAAATGAGGATTGTGAAAAATACATCAAAATGTACAAATCCAAAAGTAAATTGCAAAAACATGTAGGAAATGGCAATTTTTTGATTGAACTATTTTGGATTAACATAACATGGTTTCTGAAACTGATTTAGAGCCCAACTAGATGCAATAAGACTATTGGATAACCCTCCAGCTCATAGTATGCACCACACAAATGATGGGTTCAACTCAACCCATCTATTTTTTTATACGAAATACAGATACACATGTATTTTGGAGGAGCTTTGGCAGGCGTTTGTGTAATAACGCCATAAGAAAAGAAAAGGAGTTGTTGTATTTAACAGATTAGACAACATAGAAAAAGAAATAAGATGGAAGGGAATTAATAAATAGGCCTAAACCCAAACTTCGCAAACAACATTTGGGAAGGGATTAAAGATCAAGAGCAACCGCCACTTGAATGCTTCACAACTGTACAACAAATATAAACCAAGCCTTCTCTTGGTCATTATGTTCAGGAAAGAAATGCAGCAGCTATTTGTTGCTTCAAGCTCTTCCATTTTTGCGTGAAATGAGGATTTAAAAGGGAGACCAGAAGGCTTAAAGCAAGTTCGTACAAATCAAGAAGTGTTCAAAAATCCCAAAACCTCAAGCAACAAGTAAGCTCCACTCAAGGTAACCCATGTGCTCTTTTTGAAAATTTTACCATTCTTTTAGATATGGTATGAATATTTGAGATTTAAAATGAAGTATTTCAGCTTAAATGAAATTACAACATGAATTGGATTTGAATTGAACTTAGAAATCTATGAAATCGAACTATAACCCCCAAATAAATAAATTAAGGAATTGGATGACTTTATAAATTTCGATCAAAAAATTAAGTATATATTTGGACTCACTGTATTAGTGGTAATCCAAATTGTATCAGGTCTGTATAAGATAAGTGAGTTCATAGATCAACCTCAGCAACCATGGGCGAAGGCACCTTTAGCAAAGGGTGGTCAACTGACCACCCTTCGCGAAAAATTACGGAAAATTACACAGTGTATATAAGTAAAATATTGATTTTAGATATATAAAACCTATATTGAACACCCTTGGAAACATTTCTGGCTTCGCCACTGTCAGTAACTGCTACTGAATATTATCTGGGTCAACATTTGAACTGTACTAATTAATTGAACTGGATGGACAACTATGCATGCCATCCTATCTATCAGATATTGATTTAACTGGACTAGGAGGATATTGAACTATCCACAGTCAAGTGTCAACTGATACTGTGCCGTGATATGCAATGAGTGCTTCTATACTATCTGTGTTGTACTAGCATATTCATAAATTACATGTGTCGGGTCATGCACGTGAAATGAAGCATAAAAACATGAAACATCAGATGAACTTTGGTGGCCTGACAAGCCTATAGACCACCACACCCACCCCTTTGCAATATCTCATACAACCAATATATTCCGAATAAATTTGCCTTTCTTCTCAAACCTCATCGCACCTTTCATGGAAAAACCTTTAGAAACAACGAATCACTCATAGTGAACTCCAAGTCGTGACTCCTCTTGTCCGCATAGTAGATGTATATGCATAAAATATCTTTATGGGGTGACTATAATAGTTACTCCCTACGTTCCAGGAAGAACGACACTAGTTTCTTATTAGTCCGCCAAAAATAGAATGATACCTCTCTAAATTTGAAAACAATTTAACTTGAACTTCTCATTGATGAAGTTGATCTATAACTCACTAATTTGATACCGACCTAATACGTTTTCGAATTATCCATAATCCAATGAGTCCAAATATTTACTTAATTTCCCAATCGGAGTTCAAAAAGTCATTTAACCTCATTACTAATTTGATGGTTAGGGCTCAATTCCTTAGATTTCTAAGTTCAAAACCTTCTAATCAAATCCAACAAATGGTATAGTATCATCTAAAATCTCCAATACTGATATCAATATCTTAAACAGTAAAAGAATTGCAAAAAGAAAGAAAAAAACATAGATTACCTTGAATAAAGCTTAATAGTCTCTTGAGGTTTTGAGATTGTTGCGCACTTCTTGATTTGTATAAACTTGCTTTAAGCCTTACGCTCTCCCTTTATTTACCTATTTTTCAATCTGGTTTCCTCTTTCCCTTTTAAATCTCTATTTTACACAAGTGAAAAAGCTTAAAGTAGTAAATAGTTGGTGCGTTTCTTTCATGAAGATAATGACCAAAAGAAGACCTGATTTATATTCCTGTAGTTGTGAAATATTCAAGTAATGACTGTCCTTAATCTTGTTAATCCCTTGCCAAATGCTATTTGCAAAAAAAAAAAAAAATGTTGTTTGCAAAGTTTGGGCTTGGGTCCATTTTGTTATGAAGCTCTTTTCATATTATTCTACTTTTCTAATCTCTTAAATATAACTTCTTTTTCCTTATGGGGTATTATATTCTCCCATACTTAAAATAACGTTCGTCCTCATACGAGTCTAACATACTTTGAGTATCGAATAGTTGCACATACTTGCATACTTTGACGGAAGAAATCTTCTTCGATCTCAAGTAGCAAACTTGTTTGTCTATAAGAGTTATCGGGATCTCCTCATACGACAACCCCACATCCACTTGCACAACTTGACCTTAATGACGTGTCAGGTCATGCAGTGTGTTATGTGTCTTTTCTTCCAAGCACGTGCATGACCTTTGCTAACTTTGGTGGCGGGGCAAGCCTATAGGCTACAATACCCACCTGTTGTAATATCTCATTGACTAATATACCCCGGACTCAATTTGCCTCTCTTCTCGAACCTCATCACATATTTCATCGTAACGTAAGAACCTTTAAAAATACCTAATCACCCACCATGAACTCTAAGTCACGACTCCTCTTGTTCAAATAGTAGATGTATGCATCAATTATTTTTATGGGGTGCCTATAATAGGTTACTATGTGTTATTTCTATTCATTATTATGTCGCTTTAAGTAATTTAACGAAGAGCTGCTGCATCGGCTTCCGTTTGTGATGAAGGTTTTCATAGGGTTCTCTTAAGCTAGTGAGATCTATGCTTGAAAGTCCAAAATGGAAAATAGTTAGGTTTCTCCAAAGTTATGATTATTTCCTAGTTGGTTTCTCTAAGCTAGAATCACCATGTGTATTCATTCTTCTAGATACAAACATAAAGAAAGGAAAGCTTGCCACATAAAATATGGCGGAGGGAGTAGTTCTTAAAAAATATTGGGGTAAGAAATTATTTTCTATATGTTTACAAGAATAATATCCAAAGAAACCTCCATCCAAAACCTTTTTGCAAGTTCTATTATCCAAACATATCTTCATCTTCTAAGAGTTGAGAAGTTCCACGGCCATCGCATAGAAAAACAAGTGACTTTGCTCTTGGCAGCAATTCGTCTTTCACATTTTATTTTTTTAAGATCCTCTTTCACATAGTTTGAATTCCCCCCAGCCTAAACCTACATTATATGTAGGGTGATGCTGCGAGACCACTCTACCTTTTCCTTACTCTTGGATTAATACCACTTCTTCCTTTAGTGGCCATAAAACCAGAAAGCACTGAAACAGATAGAACAATCACTAACATGCTTAAACTGTCACTTGATTCATTCTGTTATGAAAATGCTAAAGGAACTACAATCTGTATAGACCTTTAGAAGAGTTATTTTATTAAAAGATATCTTGAGAAACTTGAAATCTGAATCTGAATCGTCACAACACCACTAGCCCATCCTAATCATTGATAACTCTATCACCTCTCAAATAAAAGAGCTTATCTCCCTTGAGAATATTGAAGTTACAATACTTTTTCAAATTATCCAGCGAAAAAACATATGAAATCTACGTCAATGCTTGTTGTCATCAAATGTCCACTTACATATTTTCTAGAAGGAGAAAATACAAATAGTCATCATGATGGTAGTTAATTGCCAACTCTCTTGGCATGTCCACGCTTCACAAGTTTAGCTAGATGTGATTAAACAAACATGCAAATTTTGTCTAATTGAAAAGGAATTGCAATATTGCACAAAAGTTTTATTGCAATTACTCAGATAAACAACTTCTTCTATAGTTCAAGAACAAAAAGCTATATCTTGAAAAAGATGTGGTTATGTCATGTGTACAATAATCTTCGAGTTCCTTTGACGTTATAAATTTTGTTGCTACAAACCATCTTTTGGAGTTAAGTGAACTAATTTTTATTGATATGGTTTATCTTTTTTTTAAAAAAAAAAACTTATAAATCATTCTACTAATTGAGTTGATTCACTTAGATTTATTTTTCTTTATAAACCATTATAGTTTAATAAAATTGCATCTTAAGATTCTACTCAATTGTAATAGTTGGCTACTTCCAGCAAATACCATTTATGGAGAAGTACTTTAATGTTATTTGTAACAAGACATAGGTATGAATAATCTTCGAAAAAGAATTAGTCGCTTGACCGATAATTATGACATGGAACCAGTTAAAAGTTCCAAGAAGGCATCTAGAAAAAAATTTCCACATATAGAAGAAGTTGTTTATCTGAGTAATTGCAATAAAACTTTTGTGCAATATTGCCATTCCTTTTCAATTAGACAAAATTTGCATGTTTGTTTAATCACATCTAGCTAAACTCGTGAAGCGTAGACATGCCAAGAGAATTGGCAATTAACTACCATCATGATGGCTATTTGTATTTTCTCCTTCTAGAAAATATGTAAGTGGACATTTGATGACAACAAGCATTGACATAAATTTCATATGTTTCTTCGCTGGATAATTTGAAAAAGTATTGTAACTTCAATATTCTCAAGGGAGATAAGCTCTTTTATTTGAGAGGTGATAGAGTTATCAATGATTAGGATGGGCTAGTGGTGTCGTGACGATTCAGATGTTAAGAACATGCTTGTTAGTTAAGGGAGGCCTAAGGAGAAAACCTTTGAGATTTATACACTCCCGTAAGAATTATGATATTTTTATGAGTAGTTTTCCACAGAAAATAGTTTTAGGAATCATTCGTTTGAAGAGCTAAGCGGAAGTAGTTAAGGAAGAACATGAATCAGCAAATTCAACATGTATTTTTTTATTGATCTTAGTCACTTTTATCGACATTTCTACTTGAAATATATTTAATTAATCTTTAAATGTAGGTTCCAACATTAAGAAAAGAAAAATCAGAGGGCGCACGAGGTGCATGAAAATAATCAACTTACAAGAGATACAAAGATCGCCGATGGAATTTGTTGATGATCATCAAGCTATTGGTGAGAATATAACCCAATTCATTTGGTTTTTGGGCCAAACAGTTCGAAGTCGAACTTGTTTCCCTTTAAGAGTAAATGTTTTCATTGCTTTTTTAAGAATATTTTTCAATGTTTTTAAAACTAATAGATAATTACTTTTATTGGAAACTTACAAAAAATGGATGAGGAACATCAAGCTATTGCTGAGAATGCTTTCAATTTTTCTTGCTCAATCTCTTTCCAAACAGTTACTTTTAAAGGGCAACAAGTTCTATTTCTAAATGTTTGGCCCAAAAACCAAATAAAATTGGGTTGCATTCTCTCCGATAGCTAGATATCCTCAACAAATTCCACCAACAATTTTGGTCTCTCTTGTAAAGTTGATTATTTTCACACACCACATAGGACCTCCGATTTTTCTTTTCACAGCATTGGAACTTACATTTAAAGATTAGATAAATATACATCAAGTAGAAATGTCGATAGAAGTGACTACGATCAATAAAAAAAATACATGTTGAATTTGTTGATTCATGTTCTTCCTCGGCTGCTTCGTTTAGCTTTTCAAACGAATTATTCCTAGAACTATTTTCTCCAAAAAAGTACCCATAAAGATCACAATTTTTACGGGAGTGTATAAATCTCAATGGGTTTCTCCTTATGGCTCTCGTAACTAACAAGAATGTTCTTAACATCTAAATCTCCACAACACCACTAGCCTATCATAATCATTGATAACTATATCACCTCTCGAATAAAAGAGCTTATCTCCCTTAAGAATACTGAAGTTACAGTGCTTTTTCAAATCATCCAGCGAAGAAACATGTGAAATCTACGTCAATGTTTGTTTTCATCAAATGTCCACTTACTATGATCAATAAAAAAAAAGAATACTAGTTGAATTTCTTATTCATGTTCTTCCACAAATGTTTCGCTGCCCACTTCAGACGAACTATCCCTAAAACTATTTTTTTCGAGAAAAATACTCACAAAAATATCATAATTTTTTGGGAGTGTATAAATCTCAATACCCTTCACCTTATGCCCTCGTAACTAATATACATAATCTTTACATTTGAATCTTCACGGCGTTCCACTAGCCCATCATAATCACCGGATAACTCTATCACCTCGCAAATGGAAAAAAAATCATCTCCCTCAAGAATACAATGCCTTTTCAAATCATCCACCATATCAAAGAAACATATGCAATCAACGCCAATGCTTGTTTTCATCAAATGCCACTTACATAGTTTCTAGAAGGAGAAAGTGTAAAATAACCACTATAATAGTAGCTAATTGCCAATTCTCTTGACATGTCCACGCTTTCTAAGATATCATTGAACATGAGTTAACTAGATAGGTAAAACGAACACGCAAAGTTTGTCTAGTTGAAAAAGAAATTAATAATGAATTTAATTAGCTCAAAGTTTTATTGCAATTACTCGGATAAAAAACTTTTTCTACATTTTGTGTGGAAAAATTTTCTTTAGCAAATGCTTTTTTGAAAATCTTAATAGGTCTCATGTCATGATTATCAGTCAAACGATTAGTTCTTTACCGAACATCATTCCTGCACATATCTTGTTACAAACAAGCATTTGCAAGATATTAGAATATTTCTCCATAAATACAAATGTTAATGATAAATATTGTAAGTAGCCAACTACTACAATTGAGTAGAACCTCAATATGCAATTTTATCAAACTTAAATTGTTTATTAAAAAAACTTGAGCGAGGCAACTCAGTAGAATTATTCATAAGTTTTTCTAAAAGAAAGATAAACCACAACAATAAAAACTAGTCTATTCAACTCCAAAAGATGGCTTATAGTACAAAGTTTATAATATCAAAAGATCTCTTAGAAATCATTGCACACATTACATAACCACCTCTTTCAATGAGTTTGAAAGTGGACTGTTTTTCTTTTATGGACATGAGACAAAATCTTTAAAAGTAAAAGAAAACCAATCACATTGTTCAACTAAAAAATATACTTTTTGTTGTTGTACATAGCTTTTGTTAATTGATTCAAAAGACTCTTCAAACAAAATCATGAATAAAACAAGAAGCAAATAAACAAACAAAATCCTGTGGCTATTGTGCATCGCAAAAAAGCCAAAAAGAAACTCTTTTCTAAACATAAGAGAGAAAGCAAACAACAAAGAAAAAGATGTAAATTTTATCTTGGTTATGCTTTGAGAACAAAAATTCAATTTATCCTTTTCCTCGCAGAAAGTTCTTGTACCTATATTTTATTTCATTTATTAGAAGACAAATTCTTAACGTACAACAAGATACATTGCTATTGGTAATAAATTTGAAAAAGCAACAAACATGTTTGTGTCCCGCTCCTATCAATTCACCACCAAATCAAAAGATGTGGCAGTGTTATTTAGTAATGAATACAAAGAAAAATATCTCCACTATAATGCTTTGAGACCCCCCACAAAAGCAATCACTAGGAGTTCACTTTTTAACCAGAATTGAACAAAAAGATGACACTCCAAAAAGTAGCAAAATAAACAAAATAACAGAAAATTGAAGATTGAAATTTGGGGATCTAGACAGGGTAAGAAGACGGTACCTTAGCTTCCGTTAATGATAGGTTGATTTAGACGAGTAATCAAAAATCTTGCCCCTCAATTTTTGGCTTTCTTTTAAGTGTTTAATGTTTTAGGGTTTTTGGCTCTCTAACCTTGCTTGTCAGTTAAGTTTTTGGCTCTTTATGTGGAGATGATTGTCTAGCATCACTGCAAATAATTATGCAGGATTTTGCTGTAGAACTGCAGCAATCTTTCTTCCTTTTTAGATTGGTATAGGTTAATAGAGCAACTTTATAAAAGCAAGTTAGAAGATTTGATGATTTAAAGCAAATTCCATCTAAAGCACATAAAGGCACTTGTGCTACTTGTGATGCATTGACAGTTAACTTGAATTAAGCTTTATGAGATAGTTCCAACTCCTTCATATTCAGCAAAATTCAACTTTATGACCCAAATCGACCTCCTGGACCCTAAAGAAATTTTTTCCAATTGTCAGCATTTTCCAGGAAAACTAACAGAACAAATGGACATAGCATATTAAAGAGTTAACAATGATGAAAAGAACATGCATGGATCATGTCATAGACAAATAAGAAGTCTACAAATCCAACTTCAACTAGCATTGACTTTAAAGGTCCTGTCCACTCTTTCATATTAAGTTAATTCTAATTCACTATCCATTCCAGGCATCCCCCCCCCCCCAAATTTCTGCTCCGAACACCATAAGCACATCTACCACACAAAGTAGCAACAATCCACAAACTAAATATTAGTGAGTGAATTGTGCATTCAGTCTAATATATCTTATTTTCAAACAGAATACACATATAAAAAATGCTATGTGATAGCCAATAAACCCAAGTTATTCACAACATTGTGAATTAACGGGACCAAGTGTATGAGTTAATTAGTGTTACTCACCAACTGGCCCAAGTCAATAAAGCTTTTACATCAGAAGCATTAACTTCTGAGTTAACTATTAAAAGCACCAAAATACTGAAAAGGCTAAAGAAAATAAATGAAATGACAACAGCAAACAGTCAGATTATCATGGACAAAATACCAATTCAATCAAATGGTTAACAAAAGCTAGAGAATAGCCGCACCTTGTCTGAAGTAAACATCACAAGTCAACTGCAAAGCAATGCACAATTGAAGCACCATTAGGAACAACAAGAACCACATCCGACCACAAGATGTTCCCACTCAACCCTCCGTCCTTGTCCTTCCAAACTTCAATCTCTGCGCACATAATGTCAACCTCCTTGCCGTTCCTCTTGCCTTCCCACGCAACACACAACCTCTCATCGAAATTCACCATTGTCGCGCCACACAAGAACCTAGGCAACCCCTTCTCCACCCCTTTCAATTCCTTCCACACATCTTCCTTCACATCATACCCTCTAATCTTACCCAAATAATCATAACAATACAACACTCCTCCCACCACCGCAGCCCGTCCCCTCCACCCCAAATCAAGCCTTTTTGTTACACTCCCCCACTCCCCACCCCCAGCATTGTACACCACCCCTCCCCTATCCGCCATCGCATAAACCCTATCACCCACCACTGCACTAGCATGCATCCACTTATCTCTGACCTCAATTGGACTCGGCAACGCAGCCCATAACCCCGTTAATGGATCAAAAAATTCAGCCCAATTCATCGACCTAGCCCAATTATCTACAACACACCCACCCATTACATAAATCTTCCCATTCACAACCCCAGCCGCAGCAAACTCCCTACCAATCCTCATTCTTGGCCCCATTTCCCAACAATTAAACCTACAATCGAAAACCCACACATTATTCGAAGGGATTTCACCAATGGACCCACCAATCACATAAATCTTCGGGCCCAAAACTGCATAAGCCGATCCAATGGGCTTACAGGGTATTGAAGAAAGGGGAAAAAGCTTTCTCGGTTTTTGTGGGTTAGGGTTTTGGAAGAGAGTGTACCAGTGGAAAGTGGAGTTTATGCGGAGGTTGAGGTACAGGAAAGTTTCGGTAGTACGGAGAATTGACCGGGTGGCGTAGAGTGCAGTTGAGCTAAGGGTGTAGCGCCAGGATTTGGAGACGAGAGAGAGAATACGGTGATGGGAACGTGGGACTCTGGCTAAGCACTGTAATGCTACGTCGTCTGGGAGGTTTGGTATGAGCTGAGATTGTGGGTCTGCAGTGCCAAGATCCGCCATTTTTTTCCCTACG